CACGCATTGTCGGTAAGATGCCGCCCGCACACAGCGCTGGTGAAACCCCGCACAGCCTCCTGAGACCCAGCACAGCCCTGGTCAGATGCTGCACAGCCCTGGTGAGCAACAGAGTAGGTAGCTTCATATTATTCTGCATTGCTGTCTAATATATTGCTGGGATTTGTAGTCCTCTACAGCAGTTGGTATTCTGCATTGCTGAGATTTGTAGTCCCTCTACAGCTTGGAATCTATGGCAGAACTACCAGGGTCGCAGTGGTTGCAGCTGTGATCGGGCCCTGGTGCTCCACCTCTGTCCTAAAATCATTAGTCTGTATTGTTTTACAAAAACTGTCACATGACACTAAAAAAATAAAAAGTATCAGTAATTAGTATTGGCGAGTACTTGAGGAAAAATATTGGTACTCTTGCTCGCTCGGAAAAAATGGTATCGGTGCATCCCTATTCACAATTCATATATTGTATGTGTAACCCATTGTACATATATTATTAAAAGTCGGAGCCAGCAACAAAAACCAGCCTCAGCCATTTTTCAGCCAATGCTGCCCTCCAGTGGCCATATAACAGTATGCATCCCATCCTCGCCAATCGGCCCAGCTATGGAACCTGTGATTAGGAGATAAGACAAGACTATACATTTAACAAATCACACCCTGACTCCCTTGTACTGCATGTTATTCCAGCAACAAAACCAGCAAAATGAGTGCAATGGATCGTATACATATAATGATCTATCCAATACATCCACAGTTACAAAAACATACCAACTCACAACCTGCATGCATGATTTCTAGGTGGCTTGTAAGACCTTTACTGTGCTGCTGCTGTATGAGGTCAATATAGATTATTGGCTGACAATTTCTGAACCAAGCAACAGCCAAGGTGGGATCAAATATAAGCTGCCAAATAAGAAGCCCAATTCCCCTGAAGAAAAAAAAAAAATCAGTTTTCAGGTATCATCTTAATATCTAAAAGGTGGCACCTGGACCTGTCACATTCTAACAGGAAACGCAACACCAGGTGACCCGATGTATTAAAACTGGAACAAAACCTAAAGAAAGAAGTGAAGTAACCGATTGTATTTTCTGTTTCATTTCCTAAGGTGTGAGAAAATTATCCCTCCCAGATCCCTCAATCTAAGGCCAATACCTCTCAACTGTGTAATATGGGACGAGATGACATGCTGAAGCTTCAACATCTAGGAAAGAATGGTTTGGATATAGAGGTCAGGGTTCTCAATGGCATATTATGGAGGTGCAGAGTGAACAACGAAGTCTATATACTGACATGTCAGGGCGCCCGTTCTTGTCAATGCCCAAATCTTCTTATAAAAAGGGGTTACTTTGAATAACGTTACTATCTGCCATGGTGAAAGTGCTGTGAGCCAAACACTTTGGGGTTAATGTACTAAAGCCAGAGGCTGTTTGCTTTGTAAGATAATTTTCTGCTTGCTTAGTGAATGAGATGAAACTTCCATCATCCAATCACATGCAAGCAAAAATATAGTTTTTTTTTATTATTATTTTCCTTGCACATGATTGGGTCTTTCTTTTTTGCACAATTAATTTTCCGGATTCTGTCCGGACCAGAACCGTGCGCTCCTGCACCCAAAATGCTCCCCAATGTCTCCCTATGTGTTTTATGGGCTACAGTTCTCACCAGCGCAGTCCGTTCCGGACAGAAAAAATGCTGCATGTCACATTTTCTCTGGTCCGGAAACGTGCGAACGCGTCAAAAATGCAACGAAAACGCACCGCACTGCAGTTAACAGCCCCTCTCCACACAAAAAAAAGGAACTGGAACGCGTCCGGAGCGCGGTAAAAACGCGTCAAAAACGCGCTGCACGCATAGCACTGCGTCTGCAGATCTGCACCAGATCTGGACCAGAAAATGGTGTGAACAAGCCCTAAAGGGCCATCAAACGTGATGGGATCATTCGGAATCTTGAGTTGTCACCAGAAACAGAGGAGAAATCTTCCAATGAGGACATCTGTTCCTGTGACAACTGTATGAGAGGATTGGTCTCACCATGGAGAGATTTCCTCTCACTTCCTGTTGTCTCTGCAGGTCAGGAAATGAAGGAAAATCTCAGATGGCCAAAAAACGCTGACTGGGGTGTTTAACCATTGCCTAATCTATCCTATATTAAAAACATTTCAGCTTTAGACATTCTTTAATTATTCATTATCACATTATTCTAAGCTGGGGG